GAAAAGGGTAGAGAGGTGGTGAGCTTAAGGGAGTGTGAAATTGTGCTTTAATAGCGTAGAAGTAGCAGGTAACTGGTGGGTTAGTTGAGGTGCGCACAAGTTAGGCCGGACAACATTGTTATAAAAAGAAAAAGCTTTAATGGCATGGTGTAGCCAATTTTTTACATAGCAGAAGAAAGGTTTGTGCTAATTACTGGATGAAGGAGGAAGGGGAAATGAAAAGGAACTGTTTTTACAGTTTTATTGTCTATGTTATGCACCTATTTAAATCGATTTAAGTGTATGGTATGGGTACTCTAGATTGCAATGTGTATAAATAGCTAGGTACAAAGCCTAGAGAGATGAGGAGGCGATGCCCAAATTGTTAAAAAGGTTTAAAATTTTTTCTCCTTTGGATGAGATATAGTAGCTGATAAATGTCATTAATCTTTGCCAGCTTAATTAGCATACACCTGTGTGGTGCTGATAGGTGAAATGCGTACCCAGGTTTTTCTTCAACGATTTCTTTCTTGATTTTTTTTTTCTCTGAAATATGGTAAGCCCCACTCCCCCATATCCTCCTTATCTAGCACCCAAACAGTTTCCCTTTCCACTTTGCTCCCTTGCCGATTTGAACCTCCAACGTGTGGTTGGAGGTAGAGAGTCCTAACTACTACGCTATCCTTCTCTTGACAATTTGACACTTAGTATTTGAATAAACCATACCGTTGCTAATGGAAGTGAGTTTATAAACTTGGCCCTCTTCTTTTAGGTTGACTGTCTAAATGAAATATGATTATGAGAATGTAACACGAGGATCTGGATAATAGCTTATTCTTTGTGTCAAAATAGACACAATGTGATTAATGGAAATTATAAAGATACTGCGCTTATAAATGTGCTTGGATGTATCTCACAGTACCAATTGAAGTCCCAAAGAAAGATTCATGCTGTTCTCTTATATTAATAATGTTAATTGATGGTGTCTTATATATCTTATACAATGCTAAATTACTAAAAATTGCTAATATCCTTGCAATGTTTTCACTTCTAAAATGAACGGTGTGCCTTTGAAATTGGACTAAGCAGGTGCCTTTAGATCATGATCGATATCTTCTCTATCATATCTTCAATTACCTTCCGTCATTCCTGGGAGGGATATTTTGCATAGTTTAACTTCACATTACTTCTATCTGTTCAACCTAAAGCTGAATGGCCGATAAAACATCACTACCAACCTTTTCTAACATTTGTGCTATAACGCAAAAACAGGAAGCACTGAGGAAGCATGGTTTGATTCTGCTGCAATATTCGATTCTGATGGCAGTGACGAAGATTTCCAGAGCGTTGCTGATGGTATGGCCTTCTAATTTCAGCCTTTACATTCTATCTGCAGTTGTGAAATTAAGAATAGAAATGTAATCGCAATATTCTGTAGATGTGCTCTCTCTCAACAGCTTTGATTGTGGGCGAACCAGCGTAACTTCTGTGAGAGATGCCAATCATGGGGACGCTGAGGTCCATGCCCACCCAAGCAATTTGTCGCATCCAAAAGATGCAGATTCTAGAACGAAACTTGATGGACCCCACAGTGAGGTACAGCCTGTATTTATTGATGAAATCTCTTCCTCGGCTAATGAAAGCAGCGGCAGGGAAGATGGTTTGTTGGATAACTGTGGAATTCTTTCAAACAACTGTTTGCCCTGTCTTGCTTCCACGGTTGCACCAGTTGAGAAGAGAAGATCTCTTAGCGACAATTCTCCAAGTGCTAGGAAGAAAGCTGCCTTAAAACTTCCTTTCAAATGGAGAGAAGGAAATCCTAATGCTGCTTTGCGTAAGTTTCTATGTCACCCTTTTTCCCTTGTGGTCTAGTTGCTTCACTGTAATGTTTATCCATGTGCATCCATAAGTGATTCGGTGTTCGTATTTATTTCTACCTTTCAATGCTCTTTCTGAAATTAGTTTTTGACTACCTTTTATCAATTGCACAGAATGAATAAACTGATTTATGTTTCCATCAACCATGGGGAAAAATGAAATTTCATGAATTGCTTTGTTGACCTCAGCCTATTACAGGATTTAGTATTATTGTGGTGAATTTTCTTTTTCTTCCAAAAAAAACTTGTTATATTCTTCAACTATCATCTTCTTATTAGAAAATGTCATCTGATGCCAAGAAGAATTACTCTTTGGAATTTACGTTATCCTCGGCGCTCCTACAAATATTGCTTGCAAACAGTTGTGGACAATTTTGAACTGTTTTATTCTTCTTTCTACTGTATAATTGGCGTAGGTTCATTGAGTCTGAACTGCTACTGGTAGATAAATACCTTAACATGTGACCTTGGATCTGAAGTTGAAAGACGATCAAGGCTGAATATACTGCCACACATATACGCTACATTTTGTTTGTAGATGCACTTATCAATTAATGAGATAGCATACCTTTTTTTGTATTTTTTTAATTTTATCCCTCCCCAGGAGCTCCCCACTTTACTCCCTTGGTGACTCGAACCCACAACCTTACAGTCGGAGGATGCTTACCACTTGTGCAACCCTCTCTTGTCGTAAGATAGCAACTTAGTATTGAAACATCGCAATAAAAATGATTTCTTTGGGCAGTGTGGAGGTCAGGTTATTTCAGGGATTTGACTCGTTAATGAAATCCAAATGGAGGATATTTGTTACAATTGATTTGAGAGATATCTAAATTACTCCCTGCTGTTACTAGTGTCAAATGTACAATGTTTGTTGATGTACCGTTATAAAACAAACTAGTGAAATCAGGAAGAGAAGGAAAGGAATGAGGAGCAGGGTTACTGCGATCAAGAGTAAATGGATAAATAGAATCATAAGTCAATTTTCAGGATGAAAGCTGCACTCCAGATTTTGATTTGTAGATAGGAATGAGTACCATCATCTTACATCTGTTTAACGGATCAGGGAAATGAGAAAAAACAAACTGACTCTTATCCTTTATGTGATACAGTTTCGTCTAAAGCCCTGCTTCAAAGACCAATAGCTGGTTCCCAAGTACCAGTTTGCCCGTTGGAGAAGAAAATGCCTGATAGTTGGTCCCAGATTGAACCGGGCACTTTCAGGGTTCGGGGAGAAAACTATTTCAGGTAAAGTGCTTCCTTCTTTAAGTGCTCACATGCCCAGAGTTTACAAAAACTTATATAAAGCTGTGTTTAATCATGTAAAAACTTAGAGAACATCCATCTGATAATAATAAACATGCATATGGATATGTGCCAGCTACCATTGCACTAGTTCCTATGTTGTACTTGTATATGATATTTCATATCACATATTTGCTTTGCGCAGGGATAAAAAGAAGGTGCTTGCTCCAAATTATGCAGCATATTATCCTTTTGGCGTTGATGTATTTTTAAGCCAGAGAAAGATATTTCATATAGCTCGACTTGTGGAACTTCCCGTCATTGAACATTCTGGGACACTTCCTCCCATTCTTGTCGTGAATGTCCAGGTATCATTTATTTTAGAATTTATGTAAATGAGTATTTATTTCATTTTTTTTTTCTTGATCTAACTTCATAAAAGCTTTCAAGATTCTGAAAGTTTTTTCAATGTTATCTGCTAGTTCATTTTAAGATTGTTGGTGCAATTTATTTTTCTCTTCGAAGTCTAAAGTATTCTGCATCAGTTTTAAATTTTATAAAAGCTTGTTGAATAGGAATTTTTGGCCCCCTAATGGGGCAGTTGAGTATATATGAAATGCAGCGTAACCACTAATTCTGTCCTAATTATACTGAGTTTCATTATTTGAGTAGTCATTTAATCATGTATCTCTATGTAGCCATTTTATACCATGCTTAGCCTTGCCTTTTGTTTTCTAGTTTTTCTATGTCCCCAAAGTGCTCCTGTTAGCAGTCAGCTCAGCCTTTGCGAACTTCATTTGTGCTGTTGAATTAAATGTGCCCGTGTAGGCATCACTGGTTACTTTCTTAATGCCTATATTCATAGGAGTTTCCACTTTATCCTAACTTTCTTAATGTTCTACATTCACTAGATTATCCACTTTATACGTAACTATCTCCTCATGTTGCTGACGTGCTGTTTTTCTTTTGCAGATCCCATTATATCCTACCGCAATTTTTCAGGGTGAAATTGATGGTGAAGGGATGAGTTTTGTCTTGTACTTTAAGCTTTCAGAAAGTTATGCTAAGGAACTTCCTCCTCATTTTCAAGAGAATATCAGGGTAAGTTTGAGCATTCATGTTTTCTCATATTTATTCTTTTTCTTTCCTCTTTTTTCTGTGTATAACTTGTTTCGGAATCAGTCTTTTATACTGCCAGTTTCTCCATTTTATAGTATCAGATATACTCTTATCAGATTTTGGTTAGCGAGTTAGTATTTGACAAAATAATTATTACTTTCCTCCCCTTCTCTTATCTTGGACAGAAGCTGATTGATGACGAAGTGGAAAAAGTAAGGGCTTTTCCTGTTGAACATACTGCACCTTTCAGGGAAAGATTGAAAATATTGGGTCGTGTTGCAAATATGGAGGAACTCCCATTAAGTGCTGCAGAGAGGAAGCTTATGCATGCCTACAATGAAAAACCTGTTCTTTCACGTCCTCAACATCAGTTTTACAAGGTAAAGTTGACCCAGATTTTGTTCATTTTAGATTTGCGTACGATTGGCTGTACTTCTTGTTCTACTCAAATTTGTTAAATGTCCAACCGAATGATTTGTGGAAATGCTGTCATTCCCTTTTAACCTTTACTTTTAAGGAAAAAGGTGAACATGCCATTTTGAATGGCGAAAAGTCATCCACTTATATGGTGTATCGAGTAGTAAATTAAGATAGTTCTACGATGGCTCGTATAATAAAGTAATTTACCTATCAACATACTGGATGAATGAAGAGCTTTTTTAGAATGACAGATGAAACATGAACCATCTTTTGTCATAAATTGTTGCGGACGCTCTTTCTCTATGAGGAAAACCTCTTCTCATGACTTTTTCTCACATTTTAACTTCTCATCTGAAAGTAGATTTTTCCTATGAAGTGAGATTGTTTTCTTGCATTATTTTCTTTTAGATCATACAAGTAGCAGATTCTACTTTGCATTTGTTATGGAAGCACACTTCACTTAAATTTTTTCATCCGAAATTTGTGAACAAATGTTTAAGTTTGCATACATCTAAAGTGTGGCCCAATTTCTGGATAAAGAAAGAAATTTGTAACAAGGTTTTGAATCTAACTTCGGTCGCTAATGATCTTTTTTGCAGGGAGAGAATTACTTTGAGATTGACATAGATATGCATAGATTCAGTTACATCTCTAGGAAAGGTTTTGAAACATTCCTAGATAGGCTAAAGCTCTGTTGCTTGGATGTTGGGCTAACGATTCAGGTTAGTATTTGTCTCCAACGTATCATTCTTTTTTCTTTTCTTTTTTTCAGATTCTGTTTTGGAATTGGAAGTCATTTTTTCCATCTAGGTAATGCCTTTTCCCACTTTCCAAGCAGGGCAACAAAGCTGAAGAATTGCCGGAGCAGGTTTTATGTTGTATACGGTTAAATGAAATTGACTATGCAAATTATCAGCAACTGGTGTCGGAATAGAGAGCCCCTTGAATAGCTGCACAGACGGTGGAAGTGTTAAGATATGGCAAATAAAGAGAGTTACTTAGAGAAGTTCAGTTGTCCCTCGCTTTTGGTGCCTACCTCTCTGTCTTTCCCTTCCTCAAATTATCAAAATCTTCAGCGTCTCCATAATGCAGGCAGATTATAAGTGTAGCAGGTTCCACGGAAACTGCTAAGGATGATTTCTCACATTCATATCACTATGACATGAGTTCTGGACAAGTCGATTGCATACTGCATTAGCTATATACGTGTATGAATTCATGGACGACATTGAGAAATCAGTTAATGGAATAAATTCTAATTCATTCTTTTTGTTTGATAACATAGCAATCTGTTTAATTAACTTTTGCAGCAACACCAGATTTTAAGTGCTTTTGATCATAAATGCCAATATGTGAGGGAGGGAAAGGTCTTCATATGTAATGGATACTTGTGTTGATTATCACCAAAATCAGATACTTTTAGTACTTGTGTTCTTAAATGCCAATATATAAAGGGTAGGGGAAGGTTTTAATGTGTAATGGACACAGTTTTGATTTTCACCAAAACTACATACATTTCTATTGGGCAGCCCGGTGCACGAAGTATACTGCGTTCACGCAGGGTCCGAGGAAGGGCCGCATTGCCTGGGGTATGATGTAAGTAGCCTACCCTAATGCAAGCATTACTGCCCCCTGACATGATGTAGGCAGCCTACCCTAATGCAAGCATTAGTGGCTGATTCCACGGCTTGAACTCGTGACCTATAGGTCTTGCGGAGACATAAAATTTCTACTGACCGCATACAGTTTGTTTACGCTGTCAGTGTACTTTGACCTGTTATATCAGATAGTCACCATTTATATAGGTTACCAATGAATGCTTAATATAAAGTTACCTGCTAAACGTATATAGTGATTAGGTAGCTGATTCAAAATAATTATAAGACAGATTGAAATGAAGAGTTGCATTAGCAGTTTGACCTTCTGTATTAAATTTTTTCTGGAAAATTATGTGAAGAAAACAAAAAGTTGAAGTTCAAGATTTACAGGGAGGAAGTGGTTTCCCACATAAACCTCTGTTCCCAGAGTATGAGCTCTTAGGAAAATCAATAAATGGCTTCCCATTAGGTATTTTCCCTTCAAGAAGATTATCTGAAAGGTTCAACTCTTTCAGGTTTCTCAGCTTCAAAAACTCCTCAGGGATTCTGCCGGTGAAATGATTCTTGTGCAGCATCAGTCTCTCCAAAGTGCTAACATTGGCCAGTGATATTGGCAGGTTAGAGCCTAATCCATTGTAACTGAGATCCAATATCTGTAGTGATTTCAATGTTCCTATGGATGTTGGCAATCTACCTTTGAGAAAATTATGCGATAAATTTAAGTATCGGATATTTTCTTGTCCTCCCCTCCCAATCTGGTCAATGGCACCTGAGAAATTGTTATCGGAAAGATCAAGATATGTCAATGATCCTCCTTCAAACCTGCTCTTCATCTGGAAAACTGAATTCACACTGCCTTGTAGCTTATTTGAGTGAAGGTCTAGAATTCCAAGATTTTCAAGATTTGTGAAAGTAGAGGGAATCTCAGAAACAAACTTGTTATTAGAAAGATTTAAAGTATAGAGCTGAGTAAAACTACCAATCCAAGCAGGAAACCTTCCTGAAAGTTGGTTAGCTGACAAGTCTAGTTCTTGCAATGACTTGGCAAGTGGTTTTATATAATCTTGAACTTCACCATGAATTCCACATCCTGCTAAGTAGATACGCGACAGTGATGGCAACTGCATTAGCCACTTGGGAATGGTTGATATTTTCAAATGGTTGAATGATAGATCCAATGATTGAAGATTTGAAAGGGAAGAAATTTGATGAGGCAATGGTCCTTCAATCATGTTATGAGATATACTCAACAAGAGAAGCTGCGAAATCTCGCCTATTGATCTTGGCAACCGACCAGATAACTGGTTGTAACTGAGATATAACTCTGTTAGTGACTTTAGATTTCCTAAACTTGAAGGAACAGTACCCTTAAGCTGATTGTTTGCTAGTGAAAGTCTCTGAAGGGAAGTCAAGTAACCAATCGATGGATGTATCGTTCCACTGAGGCGATTATTTTGCAGTCTTAGAAATTGCAGAGAAGACAACTGGCCAGGTTTTGAAGGCAATGGTATCTCTCCCTCAAGCTGATTGTCATTTAGGAAGAGACTTGAAATGGAATATAGTTTAGCAACGGAACGAGGGATTATCCCGGTTAATGAGTTATTAGATAAATCAAGCTCTTTCAATGCTTGCAGATTGCCAATGTTTTCTGGTATGTTCCCAGTCAAGAAATTATCTTGAAAACACAAACTTTCTAAATTTGTCAAGCTTGTTATAGACTCAGGAATTGCACCAGAAAGTTTATTTGAATGTATATCCAATCTTCTGAGATTCTTGAGACCTCTAATACATGAGGGAAGAAAACCAGAAAAGCTATTTTCTTGGAGATAAAATTCTTCAAGTTTAGACAACTTACATATACTTTGTGGTAATGAACCACTAAAATTGTTACCAAGAAAGTTGAGTTTTCTGAGATTTGGAAGATGTAAACCAATGGAAGGAGGAATTTGCCCTGCGAGTCCAACGAGTTCACTCATATCGATAACCTCAAGAAACTTCAGAAGAGTGATTGAAGGAGATAATTCTCCTGCCATAGTAGATTGAAATGGTGCATCACCTGAAGTATAGAGACCTGGTAAATTGATTTGTACAACTCTACCATTTTCATTATTGCAAGAAATGCCTTCCCATTTGCAACAATCTTGGCTTTTCCATTTATTTAATCTGCTAGAAGTATCTAAATAAATTCCAGCCTTGAAATCTTGAAGACCCTTTAAGTCATTTGGATGACATGACTTACTTTTGCATATGGTTGTGAGAGTTAGTAATAGAAGAAACCAAAGAACTTGAGAACCCATTTTTATTTTCCTTTTTTGTTTGCAAGAACTGTGGATGGTTTACTCAAATATGCTGAAAAAAGTTGGGAGATTTTGTGAATTGAAATAATGGTCAAAGATCTTTAAAACAATGATTTTGTTTAAAGTCTGTTTCTTTCTTTACAGATTGTAATATGCTGAAAAGCATGTAATATGTTTTTGCTTTTTTCAACTTAAAGAAAGAGTCTAAACATTAAACAAACGGAGAAAAACAGATATAAACTTTATTAAACGTTACAAATGTCAGTTGCAGACAGAAGTTACTACTCCCAATAGATATTCAGATAACTAAACTAATCCTTTGCTTTGCCAGCAGTGTTGACAAAAGCCAATGCTGCTGTTGGTCCTCAGAAACGCCAAAGTAATATTTTGTCCACAGAAACGGCTTGTTTCGTAGTTTTAGATTTAACTTATATACATTGACGAATAGAATGTAAATTCTGCATATTAAAAATTTCCCTGAAGCGGTGTCAAGTGACCGCTTTGTTCTATGTGCATCCGCTCTTTAGGGACTGTTCCATTATTCACTGCATTTCGAAGCGTGCTGTACCGATCCTTGGGTACTTTTGTTTAAGCAAAAGTAGTGCTACCTGTAGTTAAATTTTAAATTTAAATTATATATGTCGTTGTAAAGACTTTTTACTATCAGCATAATTCAACTTGTTATAACAGATAAGTTACTTTATTTTCTTTGTTATCATATAACTTTGTTTTCTACATAGTTATTCCTAATTATTGCAGGTAAATAGTGTAAAAATACACACGAAAGTGAGAATTTTAGGAGTCGTTTGGTTTGGAAACAAGTTACGCTTGGATTAGTTATTCTAGTATTTCTTTTAATGCTGGCATAATTTATCCCAAAATTAATAACTAAATAAAGAATAAGATGGTACTAAATTTTTATACCAGAATTATCTCAAGCCATTGCCACAAAATCCCAAAAAACAGAAAAAAGAAAGAAAATTATTCTGTCATTTCTACAACTAGGTATGAGATCTCATATCAAAAGACAAAAGTTTGACACTACTAGTAATGTTGGTCTGACATCTTCCTAGTTTCTAGATATTATTTGATAATTTTGAGGACAATTGTATAATCTTCCTCTTTTTCTTATATTTCTAAGTTTGTAGTCAGACTTTCTTGGTTCGAGGACAGATCGCCCAATCATCTGATATTGTTTGTTGAACAAAATCTTAGTTGGCTCCTAAAGATTCCATCCGTCTCATATTAAAAGTCTTGGTTACTAAAAATAATTATCTCAAATTATTTATTATTTTAAAAATTCAAAATAAAATTAATTATTTTTTTCTGTTTTACACTTAGTAATAATTATTCTTAAAGATGTAGATAACATATAAATAGAATAAGTATTCAATGAAGAGAGATTATATCTTAAAACATAAATAAGGGTAGGATAGTCTAATCCTTTTCCTAATTAATATTTTTTAAAGAGTGTGTAAAAGAAAAATAAGACACCTAATATGAGACAGAGGAAGTAAATTTATAAATATTAAGAAAATAGTACACTCCAAAAGACAAACCCTTGAATAGAGAAATGTAAGCAGAAACAGTGTGATCAATTAGTAGATATAACCTAAATGCATAAGCAGAAAAGCCTACACCATGTCTATTTCATTCATTCATATACGATGAAATATAATTGATTCATTCATAAATAACCTAATAAACTAGGCCACCTACCCCCCCCCCCCCCCCCCCCTCTCTTAGAACTTACCAATGCAGTATGCAGGATAAAATTCACAAATCAGCCATTGTAATTGAACAATAGTCAATAAGGTTATAAAGTTTCAATATCCTAAAATTTCACTAGTGAGATTTTGAAACTACATTACAATAACTAATTTTTAAGGAATTTTAACCTCCTATAGCAAATGTTAACATCTTATTTATTTTAAATAAGCACCATTTAAAAAAATTATATTTTATACATACCTTTTAATGTTTATAGCAAAATATCTAATTTTGGTTACCTCCTACCCCCTAAGCCACTAAATACGCTATTCAGTTACACTATTTTTTTCTTTCTCTACTTTGATACATGTCATTCTCTTCCTCCATCCCCCTGAAAACACGATGCTCAATCTCAAAATTCTTCTCAACCACATCACCTACCATTAGTCACAAACAGTGATTTTGCCTGGTATACCACGAAGACTTCTCTGATGAACCTTCGAAAGACGGATAATTCGTGCTTGGATTGTGAACTCTCTGATAATGGGACGCCTTTGCTGTTGGTGATTGCCATAATAATTGGGTGAGGAATTTCGTGTGTGATTATGGGGAAGTTGGGAAGAACGATGAGTTTGCAGATTACTCATAGTTTCTTTGATGGAGAAATAAACGAACAAAGTTGTGGATGTTCTTTGAGTTCTTGCAAACAAACAAAGAGCAACAGAAAATAATGTAATGAGAGCCAGAAATTAGGGTTTGTTCTTGAACAAAGACGACAGAGTTTGGGCTGAGCAATTTGATTTTCAGTTAATTTATTTCAATGTATTTTTAACGTATAACGCTGTATTTTCGTGTATTTCATTGTATTCATGGTCTATTTTTTTTCCATTGTAATTCAATGTGTCTCGCTGTATTCCATGTATTTCATTGTATTTAATATCTTTTTTTCATTGTATTTCAATGTATCCCGCTGTATTCTATGTATTTCATTGTATTCACTGTCTCGCTATATGCCATGAATGTATTCATATGTTTTTTTAATTAATATAATTTGTGATGTATTATATAATTTCTCTGAAGATTGCTATATTTTTGGGGTATTTTTTGGTTGAGAATCTTTTTTATAACTGGATATACAAAATTTGTATGTTATAATTGAGTTTGTTGAGATATATTAGGAGTCTATTATGTTAATTGATTCACTTTCTGTTTAAAAACAGTGTACCCCCCCGTTTCACGCCGTGAATACAGTCGAATATAATAATTTGTCCAGCTGTAATCCCATATTTCATGTCATGAATACAATCGAATACACCCGAATACAACAATTGATTAACTGGACTTCCCTGATTCACGCTTATTTTTGCTATTTTATTCATGAATATAGTAGCTTAAATACATCTAATACATCTCATAACAACATAAAATGTATCTACAATCTATAATATAGCAAATGATATCTATAGATAGCTAATTACCACTAAAAGATAATATTTGATGAAAATTTCTCATTTTTTTTACCTATAGGAAAGTAGCTATCCGGCATTATTACTACACGATGATAAGCCAGACCCTGTCTAGCCCATCTTAAACTGACAATGACATCATGGACTTGGGCTTATGGGTTTGATGAGTATAGAGCAGTCATTGAGAAATCTTAAGCTCGTTAATAAATATAAATAGGAAAAATGATATTGTATAGTCGCCCTTAAAATAATAGTCGAAAAAATATATATTTTTTGTGTATATATATATTCTGTGTGTTATATACAAAAATTATATAAATTTTATATACTTTTCGGCTACCAAATATAAATAGTTTTTGGCGCGGGCTAAAAGTGAAAAGGTCCAAACAAATATGAACTGTTGTTTGGACATTACACCACGTAGGCTCACCCGTGATCCAACCCAATTTCTTTAGTTCTAGGTTAGGGCTTGACACAAGTTGTAAAGGCTTTTCTTTGATAAAATATCATGGTATAGCCAGTTTTCACACTGGTCAATGAAAAATAGCCAGCGTTTATCAAGTCAATGAAAAATAGCCACTATTTTGCTGCAACAGGGACCGGTCCAGTATAATATACGGGAGTTCTGGTGCATTTGTGTACGAACTCCAGCATATTATGCTGGACCGGTATACTTTGCTAACTCCTGTAAAATTTGCGGGAAACTGGAGCACCAGTGCTCCAAACTCCAGTATATTATACTGGACAATTATACTTGCTGGAACTCCCATAAAATTTGCGGGAGTTCCAGCATAATTATGCTTGAACTCCCGTAAAATTTGCGGGAGTTCCAGCATAGTTATCCTGGAACTCCCGTAAAATTTACGGGAGTTCAAGCATACTTATGCTGGAACTCCCGTAAAATTTGCGGGCGTATTTTTCCGGATTTTGAACAGTGTTTAGCTCAGATTTAAAGTGGCTAAATTTCGATGACTTTTGAAACTTGGCTATTTTTCAACGACCAGTGGTAAATCTGGCTATTTTTGAATTTCTCCCCTTTTCTTTTATGAACTTTGAAATAATTATTTTTCAAAAGAATTAAGCTAAATCGTCAACTATCGAACCGCTTAAGTTAAATCGCCTAACATATATAGAATATGTGTATAATTGTGTATACACAATGTATAATTTATGTATATTAATTAAGACGAGTAAACAGTGAACCCGACCGGCTATTTCAGTAAAAATCCCTAATTTTCAATTTGATTCTCCATTGTTTGCCCATATTCAACATTTCGCATTAAAGATGAACGAGACCAAATTATAGAGAAAAAAGCCTAAAAGAAGCCTAATCTTCATGGATGATTGATAGGAATGATCATATAAGGGATTGGCCTTTAAATATTGTCCTTATTTTTTCATGTAGTTAGAAAATAACGTCTAGACTCACATACACTTAATTCTTGTTAGGAATTTTTTTACCGGATTGGTAGATATTATGTTATATTTACTTTACCTATATTTATTAATTGTTCACAAGTTCTATCCGGTTATCATGACACTGCGGCTATTCAAACAATTAAGCAAACTCTACCATATTGGCATGACTTTGTGTTATCTGCATTCGATCTATTTACTAAATTATTTACAAAACTCTACCCGATTGGCATAATTTGTACTTGTTCAATTGTTCACCAAACTCTGCAAGATTGGTGTGACTTTGTGTTATATGCAGTCGACCTATTTCATAAAGTATTCGTAAAAGTCTACCCGAATGACATAATTTATCTGTCACGATCCAACTTTCCCTCCGTTGGGTGTCGTGATGGCACCTAGTCTTAGGGACTAGGTAAGCCTAACATTCAACTGAAATAACAACAATATATAACTAATATCTGACAATTTTGAATTTGAAGTCTCTATACAAATTTACAACCCCAAAATCGGCAAGTCATAAGCTCTACAGAGTTTGCTAGAACCTCTAAAT